TGACTCATGGTTTCTTATGCTATCAAATGAGTTATAATCCATTATTATTTATTTTGATGTAAAACTGTCTCAGATTTGGCCAGTGGGAGCCCCTTCAAGCAGGCTTCTGTGTCCTTTGGACATGTCCTCCCCAAGATTCTTTGATCACTTGCCTGCTTCCTGGAACAAGATGTTTCAGGCTCATCTTATACTTTGCCTTGGAATTAGTCATTTCCAAGGAACTTTAATTCCTTTTAATGGCGAATGGTATTTAGAAGCCAAGGTCTGGGTGCCAGGTGAGCTCATTGCTAATAAGGTGTTCATGTTTCCAGTTTCTCTCACTCATTGATTCCTACCTGAGGGCTTCTAATCTCAATGCTACTTCTGCCTGGAACTCTTCCTTCTAGGACTTCCCATTGCTGGCTCATTTTTTATGAGTTAGGTCTCTGCTCAAAGCCTCACCTACTCTGAGAAGACTTCATGATAGTATTATCAATTATCTTCCAAGTTCCTTTCTAACACATGCCTTATTTTGTCACCATGGTAACTAGAACTATCTTGGTTTTCTTTATGTTTGGACTCTCTCCCACAATGAAAACATGAGTTGTATGAGAACACAGGGTTAAGAGTCAAACAGCCCTGGATTTTAAGCCTAAAGAGCTTTGTGATTTTTAAATAATTGACTTTGAGTTTGTTTCTCATCTGTTAAAAAAAAAAAAAAAAGTGACAATAAAACCTTTCTTTCAGGGTTTTATAATTAAAAAGCAAGATTAGGCCGGGCGCGGTGGCTCACGCCTGTAATCCCAGCACTTTGGGAGGCTGAGGCGGGTGGATCACGAGGTCAAGAGATCGAGACCATCCTGGTCAAAATGGTGAAACCCGGTCTCTACTAAAATACAAAAAATTAGCTGGGCATGGTGGTGCGTGCCTGTAATCCCAGCTACTCAGGAGGCTGAGGCAGGAGAATTGCCTGAACCCAGGAGGCGGAGGTTGCAGTGAGCCGACATTGCGCCATTGCACTCCAGCCTGGGTAACAAGAGCGAAACTCTGACTCAAAAAAAAAAAAAAAAAAAACAAGATTATACATATGTTAACATTAAACTCATTATTTGGCATCTAATAAGGCTGTGGACTCCAAATTTTGTTGCACACTGAAAAATCACCTGGAAATCTGATGCCTGGCTTCCACAACCAAACACTGTGATTTATTGGGTATGGGATGCAGCCTGGAGATTGGGATCTTTAAGTGCTCCCCAGTTGGTTCTAAATGGACAGCAACATTTGGCAACCATTGCAATAAAGAACTATTTCTGGTAATTAAATAGTATGGCAAATTCAGTATGAAGAACATTTATAAGGATTTTAGCAGCAGCACTCACGTTTTTTGTATATTATCTGTGCTTAAATTCAGCTCTCCTTTCAGAAAGCCCTTATAAGATTACATTTAAAAAACTGTAGATTAGTTTGCTTCTTGGTTTGCTTTTTTTTCCAAACTCAACAGTGGACCTATTTACTTAGTAATACAATATGAGGCTACAGCGTGAAACTTCCATCTCCTTTTTACATTGCTCAAAAAGATGGTAGCTGTAAAACTTGACTTCTATCTCATACCATACATAAAAATTACTTTGAAATGCATTGTAGAGCTAAATGAGAAACTAAAACAACTTCCAGAAGAAAGCATAGTAGAATTATCATCAGGATGCTGAGATGGCAAAAATTTCTTAAACAAGAGACAAAAATCACTAGCCATGAGAAATAATTTGATATATTGGATTTAAAACAAAAAACTATGTATGAAAACAGAAAACTTATTATCCTAGCCTGACCCTATTTTGCCAGTGTTTGACATTGCACAATGAGTGATATGCTGACCAAAGCTTCAAAAGTGAACTCTCGCTCCCTTGAAAGTAGTGAAGTATTTTAATTGATCATTCAGTCAGTTACAAATAGAACTCCTTGTTCTATTCTTTCTTCCCTTTTCACTAGTGAACTTGGCAAATCTTTAAAAACAAACAAATAAATAAAGTAAACTCATCGTGAAAAGACCTGGAAGAATTTTGATGCATATTGATTAGAGAAAGAAGCCAGTCTGAAAAAAAGCTACATACGACGATTCCAACTATGTAACATTCTGGGAAAGATGAAACTACAGAGACCATAAATAAAAAGATCAGTGGTTGCCAGGGTTGGGAGGGAGATGAGAGAGAGAAACGTATGAATAAGTAGAGCACATGAGCTTTTTAACACAGTGAAATTATTCTGCATGATACTGTAATGGCAGATACATGACATTATACATTTGTCAAAACCCACAGTATTGTATAACACAAAGAGAGAACCCTAATGTGAACAATGGACTTTGGTTAACAATAGTATCAAGACAGACTCATCAGGCTGGGCGTGGTGGCACATACCTGTAATCCCAGGACTTTGGGAGGCCGAATGAGGTGGGTAGATCACCTGAGATCAGGAGTTCAAGATCATCCTGGCCAACATGGTGAAACCCTGTCTCCACCAAAAATACAAAAATTAGCCAGGTATTGTGGCACATGCCTGTAATCCCAGCTGCTTAGGAGGCTGAGGCAGGAGAATCACTTGAGGCAGGAGAATTGTTTGAACCTGGAGGTGGAGGTTGCAGTGAGCCAAGATTGCACCACTACACTCCAGCCTGGGTAACACAGCCAGATTCTATCCCCTGCACTCCAGCCTGGGTGACAGAGCCAGATTCTATCTCAAAAAAGAAAAAAAAAAAAAAAAGATTGACTCATCAATTATAAAAACTGTGCCACATCAGTGCAAGAAAATGTGGGAAACTGAGGAAGAAGGGGGTATTTGGAAACCCTCTATTTTCTGCTTTTTCATAAACCTACAACTGCTCCAAAAATATAGTATTAAAAATATATACATATATATAAAAGTGAGCTAAGGTGTTTTTGTATTGTGATAATATGGTATCCCTGATAACTTTTTCACTGTTGCATTAATGAACTTAATTAACAAACTGCATCCTGTCAGTCATCCTAACTTGCACACTTTTGGCAATGGCCAGTTTTCAGGGCCAAAAGGAAAAAAAAAAGACTTTGTAGAACTCAAAAACCCACAAAACTAGCTTTATACAAACCCTAATTTTATTGTCTATATAGTTAGAAAACAGTGTTAAAACTAATCTATATATAGGTGTTACTGTATATCTAAATTATAATCTTTGATTCAATTTTTAAAAAGAAGTCCACAAATGGAATTGTATTTTCAAGTCTGCTTCTGCTTTTTAAAGCACCTTCCTTAAATGTAACCTCACTATTTTCTTTCTAATACCACCATTTTTGCTATGCGTTGGAGCTAAAACATTTCTCTATAATGCTTAGCAAATGCTTATACTAGGCTCACGCATATAATCCCAGCACTTTGGGAGGCCGAGGCAGGTGGATCACGAGGTCAAGAGATCGAGACCATCCTGGTCAACATGGTGAAACCCCGTCTCTACTGAAAATACAAAAAATTAGCTGGGTATGGTGGTGCGCGCCTGTAGTCCCAGCTACTCGGGAGGCTGAGGCAGGAGAATTGCTTGAACCCAGGAGGCGGAGGTTGCGGTGAGCCGAGATCATGCCATTGCTCTCCAGCCTGGGTAACAAGGGTGAACCTCCGTCTCAAAAAAGAAAATGCTTATACTAAAAAAAATCCAATCTTTATAATGTTTAAAGCCGCCAGGTGTGGTGGCTCATGCCTGTAATCCTAGCACTCTGGGAGGCTCAGGAGGGTGGATCACCTGAGGTCAGGAGTTTGAGACCAGCTTGACCCATATGGAGAAACCCCTTCTCTACTAAAAATACAAAATTAGCTGGGCGTGGTGGCACATGCCTGCAATCCCAGCTACTCAGGAGGCTGAGGCAGAATTACTTGAACCTGGGAGGCAGTGCGGTGAGCCAAAATCATGCCATTGCACTCCAGCCTGGGCAATAAGAGCAAAACTCCATCTCAAAAAAAAAAAAATGTTTAAAGCCAATATGCCAGTCTTCCTCATGACTGACAAATTCATCAGTCCATCCAGAAATGCAACTCAATCTCATAACCCAAAGTAATGTTTTCTATAGATATTGGCACATATATAAAAAAAAGTTTTACATATTTCCTATTGAAAATTTTAAAACTATAAAATAGCACTACTTTAAAAAATTTATTGTTAATGGCAAATTTTCCATTTCTATGCTTTTGCAATTACTAATAGAAATATGTCAGGAAACAGGTAAAATTGTAATTTAAATAAAAACAATAAGCATAAGATTTACAAATGTGTAAAATTAGTTAAATTTTGTCATAGAACAAAAAGACAGATCTGGCTAATGGCCCACTTATTCAAATAGCATTAAAAACTAAATTGTCACACAAACGAAAAATAATTTGTTCTAGTTATTTCAACTGTACAGTGGACCTCATTAAAAGTACAGAGAAAACATTTTTTAAAAATCTCATTGGGCCAGGCAAGGTGACTTATCCCAGAACTTTGAGAGGCCGAGCTGGATCGCTTGAGTCCAGGAGTTCGAAACCAGCCTGGCCAACATAGCAAAACCCTGTATCTATTAAAAAATACAAAAAGTAGCTGGCATGGTGGCATGCACTTGTAGTCCCAGCTTTATTACTTGATAGGCTGAGGTGGAAGGATCACATGAGCATGAGAGGCAGAGGCTGCGGTAAGCCCAGATCATGCCATTGCACTCTAACCTGGGCAACAGAATAAGACCCTGTCTCAAAAATAGAGTGAAAAAAAACCCTCATCAAATTACATATAGTAACTAAGTTTTAGGCTAACATATTTTTCTTCAGGAATTAAAATGATTAAGCCAAGAATGTGAAAATCCTAACAAAGTAGTATAATTAGTAAGGTTAATTAGAAATGAATTTTGACAAACTGGGATCTTAGGTGGCTCACACTCTATCAAGTGTTCCTCCAGTATCAGTAAGAAGCCATTTAAGAGCCTATGACAATGGAGTGGGAAAGAGATTTTTTTTATCTTTTTTTCTATATTGGTAGTTTTCTAATCAGTGATTGGTTTTATTACTGAACAGGAACAGCTTAATGCTGAAAATTTTCTGCTTAATGGCTAGCAAAGACTGTTAGACCGAACATTTCTAGCACAAATGTACTCAGAAAAAAAAGTTATTCCCAGTGTAAGAGTCTATTCTCAAACAGAGATATAGTCCCTATTAAAATTAGTCTGAAAATATAAAATATTTAAAAAAATACTGAAAGACCTTAAAAAAAGGAAAAAAAGAAATTACTAAAAAGTACATGATCTAGTTAGCTATCCTAAAAGTATGCTTTTTTATTCTAAAAATTCTATTTACAAGGTATGCTTACATTGCATTTTAAAAGATATGTGTCAAATGTAAACAAATCATTACAGCAGTATTAAAAGAAGATTCATATTCTTTAAAACATTTTTTGTCATTATTAAAAACTAAAAGGAAATAAAGTGTCATTGTCGTGAAACAGTACGTGATCTTAAGGGAAGAAACATCTCACTAGAGTTTCCACAAGTTCCTTCTTCTTCTAACTGCAGGTCTGGTGGCAAAGGAGGAGCCCCTGGGTCCCCAGGTCTAGGAAGTGTAGTTGAAGAGAAGATGGTATTTTCAGTCCTGCCTACTTCTAGAACAGGCAAATTCAGAGAAGAATTAGTAGAAAAAAAGGGCGTCGTGCTGGATTCTCCTTCTGGATGGTACATGACAGTGGATGCCCTCAGTTTTTCAGAGAAATTACTCTCATCTGAATTTGATCTGGAGAGGTTATTCGTGGCTCCATCTGGAAAAGGTTCACAGCTGCTACATTTCAGTCCTACAATACAATTATTCAGATGTAAATGAAAAAGTAACTAAAAAAAAAAAAAAAAATGGAGTCGGTGTCCATCTTGTAACTTGTTAAAGATTACAAGCTACTTACCACACAATCAAAATTTAAATAGCAACTTATAAATTCTGTCATAACCTATTTCAAATCTAATTAGCTTTTCTCAACAACCATGAAGTATACTATTATTCATATATTCTAAATAATAGTCTCATGGAAGTTACGCAACATGCTATAATTCTCATTTAAGTTACAGTATATGTATAAACTTAACCACTGAAGGATCTGGAAAAAGTAAAGAAGCTCCTAAATTTTTTTTCTAAAATAAGAAATAGCTTTTATTAACTAATAAATATTCTTTAGTATTCTGGTACAAAAAAATATTAGCCAATGAAACCAAAATGTAAACAGGGCAGATGCTAAAATTTCATCTGTTGATCAATGGCAATGACTAATTATTGAATAATAGAATACCAGAACTAAAAGGAATTTTAGAGGTCATCTAGGATAGTCTGTTATTGTTAAAAATGAGGGGAAAAAAAGGCACAGGACAGTTAAGTCATGCCCAACATTCCAGAACTACTTTGTGGGAAAATGAGAACTACAATTAAATAGGTAATGCCTGTTTCTCAACCTCATAGTTCACTCAAATGACAGTGGTCGTTCACATCAGCTATGGTATGAATGTATCCACCAAAAGCTCACATGTTGGAAACTTGGTTGCCATTGCAGCAGTGTCAGGAGCTGAGGCCTTTGGGAGGCAACAGGGTCATAAGGACTCTCCCCTGGACTAAGGCCATTACCACAGGAATGGGTTAGTTATTTTGAGAGTTTGACTCCCTTTTCTTCCCTTTCACACTCTTGCCCTCCTGCGCCCTTCCATCTTCTGCCCTTGCACTATGGATGACCATTGCCAGATGCTGGCGCCATGGTCTTGGACTTAACCAGCCTCCAGAACTGTAAGAAATGAATAAATTTCTTTTCCTTATAAGTTACCCAGTCTCAGGTACTGCTACAGCAGAAAACAACTTAGATCCATCAAGGAATTTTATCATATCCAAAGGGTATAGCTAACTATTATCCAGATGATTGAAAGAATAAATTCAAATACAATTTACCCCTCTGTTAGGCTTAGCAAATATTCAACCTACAGGCATAGAAACCCTGAGTTGACAATTTTTAGGTAAAACCTGCATAGTCTATAAAGTACATTTATACATAATATTTTCCACTAGTTTTTCAATCTCACAATACAGTTAGCATGTCTGTCCCATGCTATAGAAACTACTTTCTTAGCTATGACTCAAAGGGAAAACTTGTAATGTGTCCCAGCAAGGACTTAAAGAAGATGAGTTCCTTAAGGGCAGAGCCCTAAATTATTCATTTCTGTATCCCTAATGCCTAGAACAGCTGCAGAACATCACATGCACATTTATGTGCTCTGGAGAGAGACAGACAGAAACAGAGGTGGTAGGGGGTTGGGGATTTAAATTGTGCAGGCAATTCTACACAACATTCCGGTCAGTGAGTGTACATTCTGGAGTGAGGGTAAAATGGGACAGGTGAATTTGCTATTTCTTTCATCTGTTTCCATGCTTTGACTTCTTGCCAGACTAGTATTTAAAGTCATGAATCTTTTATGCAACCTGATTCTTATAAACATATGCCAATTACTTCATCTTGTGATCAACTGGTGGGAGAGAAACTAGCAGAGCTGGACTTTTAAAATACTTTGCCGAAATACTCTTCTTTATGTGTTATGTACGGTATTTTCAGAGGTTACTCTTGAATAGATTAATTTTACATTCTGTTGACTTTAGAAACAAACCCTTCCGTATACAGGGATTTCATAATAGTTTTCTATAAATGGTATTAAATAAATATAAATACAGGATGTTGAGTGATATTCCACTTTTCAAAGTAATAATGTCATATAAGGTAAAATAAATACAAATTGAATATAATTTTGAAGTTTAAACTTTTTGAAAGCAAAATGATCATTTCTGGTTTGTTTTGCTTTCTCTGAGATAGGGTCTTGCTCTGTTGCCCAGACTGGAACACAGTAGCACAGTCATGGCTCACTGCAGCCTCAATGTCCCAGGGCTCCTCCCATCTCAGCCTCCTGAGTTGCTGGAAACACAGGTATGCACCACCATGCCTGGCTAATTTTTAAATTTTTTTTGTAGAGACAAAGTCTCGCTATGTTGCCCACGCTGGTCTCAAACTCCTGACCTCAAGCAATCCTCTTGCTTCAGCCTCCTAAAGTGCAGATACCTGGCCTACTTTGCATTTTTAAAAAGCATCATTATATTTAAATTAACTCTTAGATACCTAGGTTATCTTACCTTTCAGATGTTCTAGTTTTAGATTTCTAAGTTTCAGCACTTCATCTGTAATCTTCTGTATCAGGAAATTCTGTGTTTTTTCTCGCCGAATAGATTCAACAAGGGTGTCTAGACCTTTTGGGTTTTCCTGTAGGTAGTCTAACAATTTTCCAGCCCGTTTTCTACTTGATGTTCGACAAGAAATTTCTTCAGTGTCTTCTCTACTGAGTATTTTTTTTGCACGTAGATGATCAAAATGTCTCTCAGCTATGATTTTCTCACACAGGTATACACGTAAATTCTCTAAGGCCTAAAAGATATAAAATATGGTTCAATGTTGTTTTGTAACATCTAAGAAAATCACATAGGTGAGCACTAGCTGGGAATCTTAACAGGTGTGAGACAATGTTCTAAAGTGAGGAGGCTCAGGCCTTGTAAAATGCATGCTAATTAAGGTGAAAATCAAAGTAGACACAAGTAGGTCCTAGACATTCCTCACTGCTCTTATCTCACCTTCAAACCTAAAACCCAAGAGCAGGCTGTTGTGAGGAGGGACCAGCTGAATCTACAGGGCCTGGGTCCTTAGAAACAGGGAGGTCTGTGGAGGGCCATCTTTGGAGGTAAAGATGAGGGCAAAGACTACTGTACATTTTAGCTATCAGTTAGCAACAAATCCAGAATTAGGACCAATAACTTAGTGAGAGGCTTCGCAGTCTGTAACTTTCTCATGTTTGTCATTAATTACTGTATTTCCTGAGAGTAAAACTGTTAAAAACAAAAACAAATCCCTAAAATGAAAGGGCCCATAACGTATCTGTCTTTGAGGTTAGCTGGAAAGACTACACTCTAACTCAGTGACTCAGTCTTGGTGGAAGGGAGATGGAAAGATGTGTGGGGAGAGAAACAAAATGAAAGAAATAAAGAAAAAGGACACCAAAAAAGCAAACCTAGACTTGAGAAGTACCTGACAGCTTAATTAGCAGAAAATCCATGTTGATCTCAATAAATGGCATTAATAATTTGATACTGATGATTATACTTTAATTCCTCTATTTACTAGATATATGATCTTGGGCAAGTAATTAACTCCTCTGTACTTGTTTCCTCAGCGGACTGTTATATGAGGAATGAATAAATTAACATATGTAAAGTGCTTAGAAAAGTGCTTGGTACAGAGTAAGTGATCAATATATGCTAGTGATGATGACAAAGGTAATGGAAGGTCTTAGAAATATCCTAGAATATGATGGCAGGAAAGTAGGCTAGGTGATGTGTTCCTGTGTGAATAAACACTTTTTTTTTTTTTTTACCCTACTTTCAAGTTAACAATTCACTTTTAAACACCCTCTTCCTCATTTCTCACGTTCAGTCCATCACCAGGTCCTATCATATCTATTTCAAAAATGCATCTGGAATTCTCCTGCTTCATCCATCTCCACTGCCTTCACCCTGATCCAAATCACCATCATCTTTCATCCATATAGATTCCAGGAGCCTGCTCAATGGTTTCCCTGCTCTTATTTTTGCTCTCCTCAGTCCATGAAACAGGCAGAGGGATCTTTAAAAAATACAATTCTTCAACAAGTCCTTACTATACTTTGGGGGAAAGAAACCCAAACACTTTACTAAAAGGCTCTTCAAGAAAATGGCTCTAGCCCACCTTCCTAATTTCATTTCAGATTACCCTCTCTGCCTTCCTCCGATTTCCCCAAGTCACCAAGGTCTTGCCTGTTTTAGGTCCTTGGCAAATTCTATTCTGCCTAGAATCCTCTTCCCTCAGTTCTGTCAAATTCTTCAGGAATCGGTTTAAATGTGACCTCTCCTGACCATCCTATCTGAAGTCGATTTCCCTTATTACTGTCTTGGCACTGTTTGATTCCCTCATAGTAATTGCCATAATGAAAACAAATAAATCTATTTTGTTTTCATTTGTTTGCATTTATATAAAGAAAACAAATAAATGTAAAAGTAAATATACTTTTACATTTATTTGTTTTCAACTCTAACATCTCTGTCTGAAGCAGGCAGCAATGAGGTATGTTTTAAGTAACACTGTCTATCTGCATTTAACCCAGAGCACCAAGTAGATAACGTTTCAGATGAATGCAAAACTCACTGCACTTATTTTGTGATTTAAAATGATCCCCCTCAAGAAACTGAGCTCTTTTCAAGTTAGGATTGTCTTAGTTTTAAATTTTTTAAATTGTAGAACCAACCACAGTATCAGCCTCACAGTAGCATGTAATCCATATTTATTAAATTGAACTAAATCCAGCCAACACGATGAGGCAAATAACCAGACAGGAGGAGACACTGAAGAAGTGAGCAGTCCCAAGACGAAGGGTGGTAGCACACTATTCATCAAGACAGACAATACAGCAGCAACAGCAAGCAACTAAGGGGGAAGGATGACAAAAAGTTCAATTTTTGTCAAGGTGAGCAACCTGTAGAATATAAAAGTAGATTCCAAAAGTATTTGGAAATAAGGGCTGAGAGTAGAGAGAGAGGTCCAAATATGTGGATGATAATTTTAAAACTTTCTAAGATCAGAAAACATTTTGAAAATATCATGAAAAAAATCTCTAAGAAGAAAGCATGCACATAGTTTTTTTCATAGACTTTTTGAAATCCATCCATGATTTCAAGGTTATGCAATTCTGATATAAGCATAAAATGAAATCCTGAAGATGATTAACATCAATGAACTGACAGAGAAAAACAAAGACCTGGAAGCCACTCTTCACATCTGTACTTGTATACAGGTCTTATTTCCTTCCACTTGTAATTTCTCAGTTCCTGTTTTATTAGCTGTAAAATGCGAATGGCAATTATCTTCTTTAGAGGTTGTTGTGAAGGTTAAGTGGGAACATTGTGAACTGTGTGACACAGGATGTGGAACATAGGAGGCCTAGCTCCTGGAAGTTCAAGGTTTTACTGGTACTTACTATGAATAAGCCAACATTTATTCTACAGTAGTTTATTTATGTTCCATTCTTATCTCAACTAGAATGTAAAGCAGGAAACTGATCTTCATTTTTTGTATTCTTCCAGACCCAAGGCCAGTGCTTTCCATATAGTAAGTGCTCCACAAATCTCTGTTGAATGAGGAAACTAAGCACAAGTCCCAGTGATATCCAGTTTCCTTCTGCTGGTGAGTCACACCAATCGTGAATACAGTGTAATAAACCTTACAGGGAAGAGGAAGGGATTTGAAGTGGATGAACATTTAAAAACTTGCCATCCTGTCGAGTTCACCAAATTGACTTTGTAAAAGTACCGCAATGCTCAGTAAGAACACGTTTCATGTTGTTTGTTTTAAATTTGAATTAATATAAAGTATTATAGGTCTTATCTGGCAAAACAAGTAACTAAACACAAAAGAATGTCATATCTCAACAAAGCCATTTGATACAAATAAATATGAAGGTTTATGTAGTTCTGTACCATCTGAGAAGAGCATAATTTAGCTACTGAATATTTTCGACGTTTACCTGTACAATAATTCCCAGCTACGTGTATTCACTCCCCCAACCCCAATTTAAATGTGTGGGCGTCTGCTAACTAGGGGAATTCCGGGTTGTGCTTTCAGATGTTAAGCTTCCTCCAGCCCCCTATGCAAAAGAGCTTCACGTTTTTGGTCCACTGCCTGGGATCCTTTATCTGGTACATACTTCGCTCTAGGCTGATACAGCAGCCTAGGCGGCCGGGCTCAAGGATGAATCTGAGCCGCCAATCCCTAACGAAGCATCTCCAAGAACGCAGTGGGGGAAAAGCATGAAGGGATGGGTGAGGAGCGGGCAAGAAGCAAAGCTCCGCTGGGCAAGGTTTCCAAAGCCCAAGCTCTGCGTTTATCGACGTAAAACCTAGGTTAACAGGTCACTGAAGGATCACTGCTACCAAGGTTCCTCGGATGCAGGGCTCGCCGCATTCCTCCCGTGCTAGGATCTTCCGCTTCTCCGACCTGGAGGATCCTCCTTGTCCTCGGACTCCAGGTTTCCGCTTCCCTCGCCCGCTGGACTGCAGCCCGCCCCCTCCCGCCCTGGGCACAATGTCGCTACTCACGTCCTTCTTCACTTCAGTGAGGTCCTCCTCGGTGAGGGACGGCGCGGTGGGCTCCATGGTGGAGGCGGGTGATGGCGCTTCTTCCGGGTCTGGGAGCTCGCGCTGCGCCGCCCCGCCCTGACTGAGGGCTTCGGCCTCCAGGTAATGGGAGAGAAGGCGAGGAGGCGGAGCGGGTCGGGAGAAAGACTGCCGCCTCTTCGGGAACAGAGCTGGGGGTCAAACCGTAGCGCTTCCGGCCCCGCCTCTGGGGTCGACGGCGTCGCAAATCTACGCGTAGCGACGCCGAGCTCCGTGGAGCGCTCCTTCCCTTTCCTAGAGGCTCCAGGCGCAGGCACCGCCCCCGGGCGAGGCGGGTTCCTCGGCAGAGCCCACCCTGTCACTGCGGCAGCCTATCGGCGGCACCCACCAGGCCGTTCCTGTTCCCGCCCCCGACCGGAGCCTTTCGGGTGGCTCCGCCCACAGCAGGCAGCTTCTCAAGCCACGCCTGCGCAGGTCTTCGGCGAGTGGCCCGGGTTAGCTTCCCCATAAGGTAATGTTTCCGTGGGTGGGATCCGTCAGTGCCCAGGCAGCTGGCATTGTCAGCCTTTGCTGCGTGTTCACTTCGGGGGAGTCCGGTTTAGGCTTGTCAGTACCTTCGGGTTCCTCCCCTTTTCCCAGATCCTGCCCTGCAATTTCCTGATGCTGTGTTTGCCAGTTACTGTTTTGGTCACATATAAACGCAGTCATACACACGTACACATGCATACACACAAACAGCGTAACTAAAATACTGAAGAAATTTTTGAAAGAAAAAAATTTTTTGAAAGAAAAGAAAAAAAAGTTTTTTGAATGTCCGCTATGTGCCAGACACTGTTCTAGGTGCTAGGAAAACAGCTGATAAAAACCCCTTTCTTCATGGAATTTATATTCTAACCTATGTGTGTTTGGGGCAGACGAGGTAGACACTTAAATAATTTTTATCTAAGTTTATTTATTTATTTGGAAATACAATCTCACTCTGTCACGCAGGCTGGAGTGCAGTGTCATGATCTCCACTCACTGCAACCTCCGCCTCCCGGGTTCAAGTGATTCTCCTGCCTCAGCCTCCCAAGTAGCTGGGATTATAGGCGCATGCCACCACACCTGGCTATATCTAAGTTTTTAAAATGAATTAATTTATTTATTCTTTTGAGATGGAGTCTCGCTCTGTCACCCAGGCTGGATGGAGCACAATGGCGCGATCTCTGCTCACTGCAACCTCCGCCTCCTGGGTTCGAGCAATTCTCCTGCTTCAGCTTCCCGAGTAGCTGGAACTACAGGTGCGTGCCACCACACCTGGCTAATTTTTGTACTTTTAGTAGAAACGGGTTTTCACCACTTTGGTTAGACTGGTCTGGAACTCCTGGCCTCAGGTGATCTGCCTGCCTTGGCCTTCCAAAGTGCTGGGATTACAGGCGTGAGCCCCCATGACCAGCTATATGTAAGTTATTTAATATATAGAAGATGATAAACGCTAAGAGGAAAAAATAAAACAGGGAAGTAGGATGAAGCTGTGTGGGTTGTTAAAATTTAAACTAGGGTGGTCGATGACCGAGCTGCTCACTTTGGAGTAGTCTGCTCTTGGCTTGTCAATACTGAGATAAGGGATTTGATTTATGCGTAAAGGAAGTGAGGGAGTGAGTCGTGTGGATATAAGGAGAGAGCATTATGAGTACAGCCGGCAACCAACAAAAAGGCTTAGTGTGCCTAGAAGGAGATGAACTTGTATGCTGAGTCATATGGTTGTGCTGAGTCAGACAGGAAGCCACTAGAGGCTTCTGAGCTGAGTGACATGATCCGATTTGTGATTTGAAAAGAAATACTTTCACTTTTGTGCTAAGGGAAGAGGAGGTGGAAGAGGGAAAACTAGTTAGGGAGCTATTGCTATATCCAGGCCCCAGGAGGTGGTGGTTCAGACCAGGGTGGAGCAGTGAGGGTGATGGGAGCATTTTGAAGAGAAGCAAAGAAGCAGTTTGATTTCATTTTGAAAGGATCACTCTGGCTGCTGAGTGGAGAGTAGACAGCAGGGGCAAGGGCAGAAGCAGACACCAGGTGGAGGCTACCACACTGTCAGGGTCACCACTTCCCCGAATGTCATGCTTGGGGTCAGGTTCCAGCCCATGCTGAGGTCCAAGGGGAGTGGGTGGATGAGCAGAAGAAACACCCAGGGGGACCGTAGGCAGGTGGAAGATTTTATTCAGCAGCAACTCTCATCAACAGCTTTCTTGCACTAGTTGTTTACACTGTCTGCCCTGTCTCGGCTGCTTAGTCCAGCGGCACCCCCACACAGCTGCACCCCTACACAACTGCGTGGTGGGCTTTGCCTTCAGGGTCAGCAGCTATACTCTTACTCTGTGCACAAGCTGAGCTTTGTCCTGGCTCCTCACTGTTCGTCTGCAAGACAGACAGCTCTACTCTCCCTCTCTGTCTCTGCCAGTGCGCCTGCACAGTGTCAACAGGGCAATTATATCTTTTACAGGCAATAGTGGTTTAGAGCCAAGGGATGACCTTCCCATGTCATGGCTACATGGCTGTGATAACGAGTGGAGTTATATGCCTGTGCTCTAAACTGGCTGAGTGCCTGTGGATGTTTACCTAGGCTTATCCTTGACCAAAGCACAGCCCTGTTCCTTACACACAACCATCCAGGCACAGCTTAGGGTGGCGGGACCAGGGTCGGGGCAGTGGTGAGCACTCCCCACTGAAACCTTAAATCGTTCCCAAGTGTTCATTGTTATTAAAAAATTGTCACAGAATTTACATATTTTCACCCTTTTTCCCCGTCACATTATCATTGCCTGCATAAATTCTCAGGACCATGAGTACAAAGCCCAAGGAAATGAATATTTTATTGCTTTTCATATACATTTTTGCAGGTGTTTTCCAAAAGGGTTGTATTGGTCTATCTGTGCGTGGGAATGAACTGTTTTTAACACAACCAAATCAGTTCTGCTGATGAAGGAGAGGATTCACCCATCAAAGCAAGTGAATTGAATGCTGCCAATTTGATGCACTCATTTTGATCTGGCTATTTTGAGGTTGCTACTGCACTGTTGTTCTTTTTTAAAAGAAACATTTTGAACCCACCAAACTATGAATATTACAAACACCCTACGCTTACTACCAAGATTGAACAGATATCAATATATTGTCACATTTGCTTCTGTTAATGGCTTTTGATTACCAAATATTAGTGGCAGACATCTTTGATTCTTGAACATTCTTTCATGCCCTTACTATACATCTGAGTCTTTTTCTTTCCTTGACCATTATTTCATTTCTGATACCTCCAACCCTTTTCTATCCTCAGTATTCATTCCCTTATTTATTTAGTCAACTAAAAAGTTAACTTCTGCTTTGTGTTAGAATTGGGAGTTATAGAATAAGGGGCAGGAATTGGGTGGGAATGAATAAGGATTCCGGGAGTTTTTTTAATTGCAGAAAGAGTAATATTTTGCTTTTCAGGCTATGTGTCAACATTCCCAAGATGAATTGCCTAACTTAAGCAGCCACATCTGAATACCATGTGCCTAATCACAGAGCTCGTTTGTGGCAGGCTTTGCAACTTCCAATCCTTCTTGTTTTCTAATGCATCACAATTCTTTCATTAGTAAACTAATTTTCCTCTTTCTGCTAACTCACAGGGTCTGGCTAACAATGAAGCTTGGGCATAGTTTCAGAAAAACAGCCCCACCCATCCACTACCTTGCAATAATCCTACCTCTTCCTCATCCCTAAAAACAGCCTCCATCCCCCCTCAACTTCTAGTGCTCCATCTGCCTCCTACTGTGAAATAGAAGGCACCTGAGAAATGTGCTGAGCAGGATACAGTTTAGGTGTTACAAGCATAAGCCACATAGCATCGTGGTGCGGATCAGAGTCATTAAGCATGAGGGTGTCTGACATCTGACAGAGTATTCGTTTCCTAAGGCCATCACACCAAATTACCAAAAATAACAGATGTTTATTCTCTCACAGTTCTGGAGGCTAGCAGTCCAAAATTGGCAGGGCCACGCTCTCTCTGAAGCTGCAAAGGAGGACTCTTTCCTTGCCTCTTCCTTTCTTCTGGTGGCTTCTGGCAATCCTTGGCATTCCTCGGCTTGTGGCACCATCACTCTCACCCCAGCCTCCATCTTCACAAGGACTTCTTCTCTGTGTCTCCTCCTGTGTTTCTGTTTCCACATTTCCTTCTTTTTAAGGCCACTAGTCACCGGATTTAGGATCCATCCCAATTCAATATGACCTTATCTTCATTTGATTACATTCACAAAGACAATTTTCTTTTTCTTTTGAGACAGGGTCTTTCTCTGTTACCCAGGCTGGAGTACAATGGCATAATCACGGCTCAGAGCAGTTTTAGCCTCCCAAGTAGCTGAGAATATAGACATGTGCCACCACGCTCAGCTATTTTTTAAAAATTTTTACTTTTGTAGAGACAGTGTCTTGTTATGTTGACCAGGCTGGTTTCAAACTCCTGGGCTCAACCGATCCTCCTGCCTCAGCCTCCCAAATTGCTGGGATTGCAGGCATAAGCCACCATGCCAGCCAAAGACAATATTTTGAAGTAAGTTCACATTCCAGGTTCCAGTAGATGTGAATTTTGGGGAGATGCTATTCAAGTCAGTACAGCTGGATCCTAGATTTGGCAATTATTAGCTGTATAATCATGGATCAATTCGTAAGTATGCCATAAAGATAGTGATAACAAGAATTCAGAGGCAGGGAAGAGGAAACCATTCTGACCATTAAACAGCATGAAAGAGGAATTCACCAAGTATTTTAGCTGGGTGGGAGGATTTTAACAGGTGGAGCTTTAACTACTTCTTGATGATTTATTTCATACTTCCTGCCCTATGTCAGATGCTGTATTGAGCAACAAATTCTATTCCAGGTAATTGTGGAATTATATTATAAATTGTGGATTATAAAATTTCTGTAAATGGTTGGAAGAAAAAATGGCCAGTCCTGAGACAGACACTCTTAGATTTTAATGGCAAGATATTATGTGGTGAAATTCAGATGTTTCAGTACGGGGACTTTGTGAAGGCTCCTGGGGGCTCTGTCTTCAGGAATGGCTCCCAGCTTAGGAAGGAAGGACCAGGAAGGTGTAGGGTGGCAGGCGTGGACCTGAGAAAATGCTCTGACAATATTTGCTAGTGCACTCCAAGACTAGGACATTGCTGGGGCGGATGAAAGAACCTAAGAGAAGGGATCATTCCCTTTGCCTTCCCCCTAGAATACTGGTTTGAAGAGTGCAGGCAGGCACCTGCTGAGTCCTGAATGTTTGGAGGTTGCACACCCATATAGCAGCAGGGGGATATTGGAGGAGGGGCTAGATCTCCCAGTCTTACAACTCCCTGGGAAGAAATAATCACTAGCAATTTATTTCACATTCACTCTGAGCCAAGCACTTTACATCTACAGTGGGAATGTAAGGCCTATAACAGTCCTTACAGGTAGGCTTTATTACCCTAACTTCAGAGATGAGAAATCCGAGGCTTAGAAACATGA